ATGTGTACTGATTTTTAGTTCTCGTTGCGCTCGTTATGGTGCTGCTGTTCAAGTTTCCATACAAAATTTGACAATGACATTTCCTACTCGCTAACTATTCCAATTCGATATTGGTTCGTGCTAAGGGTACTGTATTCTTTGTATGAGAGTCCCTACTTCAGCACACTAATCGGAATCATCACATTGCCTCGAAAGGGCGGATCCAGGGGGGAGGGGGGAGTCATGGGGGTCATGACGCCCCTGACCCCCCTGACCCCCATTTTTTTCTTCGTTTATCAGGTAGATTATCAAAAAGTATTGGACACGTATTTTTTTATTTTTTCACATAATATAAACATTGCAGAGATATATTGATTTGAAAAGTCGCATGACGTCACGTTTTGGTACAATTTTCGCTTAAAAGTGACGTCACGAGCCCCTACTCCCAAACTTTGACGCGCTTTAACTTTGTAATTTTTTGGTTGATTGCCCAAAGAAAAAATACGTGTCCATTATTCTTTGATCATCTAACTGACGGACTAAATAGAATTTCGTTTACTTTACCCCGTCATCATGCCTATTGTCTGAAACATAATCAGGCACCTTTATTAGGCTTCATTAATAAGTGTCCTAAGCTATGGTGATAAAGAATACAATAAACTAAGATACTCCATGCCAGGAACATAAAAAAAGCGGCCAAGTGCGAGTCGGACTCGCCCATGAAGGGTTCCGTAGCAGCAAGTAACATTATTATAAAACCTGCCCCCCGCGCGATCAAGCCACGCCCCGCGCGAATTATAATTATTATATTTGTTTCTTAGGTTTTCACGCACATCACTCATTAAATAAAACTAGTTTTTACGGGTTAATGCACGAAACTTTATTTATTTATTGACGTTTCGCAGCCTTTTCAGGTCTGACTAGTTTTATTATAATTATTATTTACTTGGGTACCAAGGACGGATCCAGAGGGGGGGTCATGGGGGTCATGACCCCCTCCCCCTGGGCTGGATCCATCTGTACCCACTTCTCAATCTGTACTTCACAATCTTTACCCACTGTGACTTGACCACGACTATATGACCCCCCCCTGGCGCCAAAGCTGAATCCGCCCTTAACGGGTACCTATTAGTCTGTGCGGAAACAGAATGGGCGTGGCGAAAAACGGAACTAACATTTAGATTTTTATTTGGCAATCAAACCCAGCAATCTGTAAAACGTCAAAGTTTTGTATTGATACGGATTTTTTTGTTGTTGTGATTTCTTGCGGTTTTTGTATTTAATCATGGCTAAAAGGAGTAACACCTTACAAATACGGTAGAAAAGCACTACAGCGCCCTCCAATCTAAATCCCATTCTCTTTCCGCACAGACTTTATTAGATTTATTATTAGAAAATAATGGTTCACGGTTTATGCATAACGTTTATGTTTATGAAATTAAATGTTTGTGTTTATATTTGAGTTGATTGAATGAGAGGTTAATAGCGGTATACGATTTATGACGTACTAAATAAACTACTAAGTAAATGTCTTTTAAACCAATTTTTGGTGAAAGTTTGCATATTAATGTACATCATATATTTTTTAAGTTTTATCATTCTCTTATTTTAGAAGTTACATGGGGGGGGGGGGGGGCACATTTTACCACTTTGGAAGTGTCTTTCGCGTAAACTATTCAGTTTAGAAAAAAATATATTAGAAGCCTCAATATTATATTTGAAGATCTATCCATAGGTATCCCACACGTATTGGTTTGATGAAAAAAATTTTTTTACTCTCAGTTCTAAGTATGTGGTCTCCCCAAAATTTACTGTTTTTTTTTCTATTTTTGTGTGAAAATCTTAATGCGGTTCACATAATACATCTACTTATCAAGTTTCAACAGTATAGTTCTTATAGTTACGGACAGATGGACGGACATGACGAATCTATAAGAGTTCCGTTTTTGCCATTTGGCTATGGAACCCTAAAAAAGTGTGCACGGACCACACATCTGAAGCGAAACTTCTTTTCTTGAATAACGTAACATTAGGCGGTGCATAAGGCATAAGGGGAATGGAGCAGCACACTTATCACTCATATAATTATATGTAATATAAATATATACATATAAATATTATATTATATCATCATCAACCTATTAATGTCCCCATTGCTAGGGCACAGGCCTTCCCTATGGATGGAATAGGGAGATTGGGCTATGACCCACCACGCGGGCCCAGTGCGGATTGGTAGGGTTAACGACTGCATATGCAGCCGGGACCAACGGCTTAGCGTGCCTACCGAAGCACGGAGCAGCTTGAGATAGTAAATTTTTGGTCACCCATCCAATGACTGACCACTGCGAAAGTTGCTTAACTTCAACGTTTGCAGCCGATCGCGCTTACCACTTACGCCATCGAGCTCCTCATAGGAATATAAATATATATATATATATTGTCACGTGTGACGCTCGTAGCGTTTCAGCCTTCGTCGAGTTACCCTCCAACTTTCATGCTCGTCGGGAAGAGTTGCGCACGCACCCCACACACACACACATATATAGTCTTGTGACGATCGTGACGCTTTTTTACGTTTCATCTTTTCCATAGGATTTATCCATTTACACCCAGACCGAAAAAAGTTTCACTTCAATTACTAAAACTATTATAAATTAATTTCGAGATAATTAATTTGTAGACTACGTAATTTTCCCTGTGCATCTTTGTCTCTACATCAAAATTCATCACAATCGGTTTAGTGTTTAAGCTTAAAGGCGTAACAGACACACAGAACTAATCTCATATTTTATACAATAAATAATGAATGTATTGGTTTGTATGGATATGGAAGAATGCTGACATTTCTTCTTCATACTTTTTCAGGAGAATCACGATTTCCGCCATTCTGAATCTACAACATCCTCCAAAGTAGTGAACATAATTTATCTTGAAACCAATATTGGATATTATGCTCCTTACTTTGGATATGTTGTAAGAATTATCATCGGGCGATGGTGGACGAAAAACGAAGAAAAACTCGTCGACAAGACACGAATAAAAAGAAAACGAAAAGTCGTCAGAAGAAGATAATTAAGTTTATGTTGTAAGAATTATCATCGGGCGATGCTGGACGAAAAACGAAGAAAAACTCGTCGACAACAAACGAATAAACAGAAGAGGAATCGTAGTCAGAAGAAGATAATTAAGTTTTTGTTGTTAATTGTTTTATGTACCTTTTAGAATTCTATACTAGGTTGCAGTTGCAGATCTGAAGAATTAATCAATGGTGAGTTGAATTCTGTTATTTTAATTTAATTGACTTTAAAAAATCTGGGCCTCTTGACGTTTTGGCGTTGCTGTTCAAGTTTTCCTACAAAATTTAACAATGGCATTTCAGACTCTCAAACTATTCGAATTCGATATAGTTTCGTGCTAAGGGTACAGTACCCCTAGCACGAACCATTATCGAATTCGAATAGTTTGCAAACCGAAATGTCAATATTTGTTTCTTAGGTTTTCACGCACATCACTCATTAAATAAAACTAGTTTTTACAGGTTAATGCACGAAACTTTATTTATTTATTGACGTTTCGTAGCCTTTACAGGCTACGACGTCAGAATCAAACTTTTATACTTTTTATATTAAACAATAAAAGTTTGATTCTGACGACGTAGCCTGTAAAGGCTACGAAACGTCAATAAATAAATAAAGTTTCGTGCATTAATCCGTAAAAACTAGTTTTACGAAATGACAATGTCAAATTTTGTATGGAAACTTGAACAGTATAGCGGCACAAAGTACGTAACGAGGACTAAAAATTAGTACACATTTGACAATGACATTTCGGTCTCGCAAACGATACGAATTCGATATTGGTTCGTGCTAGGGGTACTGGTTATTGCTGATGGTGGTCGTGGCCGTCTAGTGCGCGAGTTGCCTTACTGTGACAGTTAGTTGCAAACAGGGTTTCTAGGTATCCCGATTTTACAGGAGATATCCTGTTTTTCCGAAATTTCTCCTATTGTTCTGTTTTTCTACTGTTCTTCTTCGACTGCATATTATAGGTAACCTTAATTAAAATAAAATAAATATGTTATTGTCTGACGTGCAAATCGGAAAAAGTACGCCTCTGCATCTACAGTTTTTTCTTGTATCTCTTTCCATACATTTACTGTTTCTGAAGTGAAAACTTCTTTAGCGGCGTTGTATACTTTTTTTTTTGTATGGGTAAAAAATGTTAAACTCGCGTCAGGTTAAACACGTGGGTTGATCGCATCATAAAATAAAATTGGAAAGGTTGTTGACTTTCAATATATTGGACGAAACATAGTAATATTTTATTTTATCGTATTATAATAATATGTCTCTATCTAGGACGTCCACGTGGCAGCTTTATTGCGAAGAAAATGCATTTCCTTTCAATAGATGTCGCTAAGTGCGCCTAAATTTACGTGATTCATGTAAGTTGATTTTTATGAGAGATAAACTTTTTTAATCTAATATAAATTGTCATGTTTGTGTACGATAGCGCAATAAATAAATATTGTATTCTACCACATACCTGATAGTACTTTTATACTGATAATTAAAGCAATTCGTGCAAAATTATTCCCTAACCATTCCAAAATATCAAAAATGCACAACGTTAATATTCAAGTTTTCACTTCTGCCGGCACTCCCGGAGTGCAACCCGTCGTTTTTTTTTTCTATAACGCCTTCCGATTTTTAAAAATTGAACCCGCAAGACTGGTTACAAACCCTTGAAACAAGTGCAAAACCAACAACACACACGAATCATTCCGTATTGTTTAGTCGAGCGAAAAACACCATAAAATCGCGTTTCTTTTAAGTATACACTCTTGAATATTTTTTTTAAATTAGTTGTAGTTATCCAAGGGCTATCCACAATAGACCAAGAGCTACTGAACCCCCCGAGTAACGGTCTGTCTGTAAGGCTAGAAATTCTTTTGGTATACAAACTTTAACATTTACAATATTAGTAAGAAGTAAGATGGGATATGAAATAGATGTACTTACCAAAAGTCCAATGAGAAGTACCAGCGCTATCACTCCGATCGTACTGACTGCGATGGCGACGCCTGCTCCCGACCCAGAGTCTGAGTCGAGCGGGCCTCGAGGTACAGCTTCCGTGGTCATATCTCCAGCATAGCTCGTCAGATCTTCTAGGTCACTCACTGACTTCGAACCGTCTTCAGTGGTCGAATCTGTCGTCGTTTCTACATCCGCGTTGTTGTTTGTTGTGCTTTCAAAGATTTTCGCACTATGCTCAGTTGTCGTTTGGATAACTTTTTCCGTTGTCGTTTCTTTAGCTTTTTCTGTTGTAGTAGTTTCCACGTGGACTTCGGTTGTAAACATTTTTGGAGTAGTCACTTCTTGGTACATTGTAGTTTCTTCAGTTGTGGTCTTAGCCTGCTGAGTGATGACTTCATTGCTGTTGCTATCTTCTTCTGATGTGTAATCGGATTCAGTTGATTCTGTCGCGGAGCTTGATATTTCAGTTCTGTAAGATATTTCAGTAGAACTCGGCATTTCCCTTTCAGTATTTATTTCGGTTATAATTTCTGTGACAATAGATGTAGTTTCTTCCTGAGTTTGTGTAGTTAGTTTGATGGTAGTTGTAGGTTCTGTTGAAACTGCCATCGTCGTAGTAAGCATTTCAGTTGTAGCTTCTTCGGTTGTGGTTTGTGTAAATGCTTCTGTTGTTTCGGGTATTTGCTCTGTAGTACTTTCTATAATTTGTGATGAGACTTCTACTGGCGGGGGTGTTTCTGGAACAATCGTCGTTGTTTCTTCAGCAATATCATCTGTTGTAGTAAACTTAGGCCGATATGTAGTTATCGGATTGTTGTCGGTAGTTGTAATTACGGTTCGCGTTGGTACCACTGGATGCCATGATACCTCTGTCGTAGATTCATTAAATTTGTCGTAATCGCTGTCAGTGGTTGGCTCAGTTGGGACATAAGAAAATCTTATAGTAGTAATTTGGTAATCAGTTGTTAAAGATTCCTTAGGTGGTTTGTCAGTAACTATCTCATTCTTCTCATCAGAACTCTGAATAGTATCATCTAGCGGAGTAGTTACCCCACCAGGTAGTTTTGTAATCGATTCGAAACCAGTTGACTTTGTAGCATCAACTGGAGGAATTGCTTTTTGAGAAGTTTTATGACTTTCCTCTGTACTTGGTTTTTCTACCTCAGTTGCAGACACCCATGTAGGTCTTGTATACTTAATAGTGTTAAGTGCTAGGTCATCAGCTTTGGTACGTACTTTATCAGTAGTACTAAAAGTCTTATCACTATTTTGAACTGAAATATTACTTTCTGCAGGTTGTTTTTCATATTTCGTTTCGATTCGCTTAGTTGTTTGACTAACGATTTCAATAGTTGGTAAAGTGGGAGGTACCGGTCGCCATGGTAATCTGTTTTGGTTTATTTCGGTAACTTTCTTGGGCACAATATCATTATTCATAAGGCTTGTGCTTAATGAAATAGGTATGGCTGTCGACTCTTTTTTCTCTGAAATAAAAGTTTTTTTTTATTAAACACAATTTGTAGATAATAATATGGTCTCATACTAATACTCGCAAATTTGTGATAACTAGGATAATATATTTTTTTAATATAATTAAGAAACTATCAATAGTTTAGTGATTATATTAATACGTGACGTGAGAGTTTTTACTTATTTTACATTTCAAACAATGATTTTCTGATTTTTAATAAATTTACTCAGACACGTATTACTAACTGAAAGAAGTAGTATTATCTTTTATCACAAACTAGTGTTTGGTACAGTATTCTACACGGGATGCTCTACTACAGCACTTCTTTCTCCATTTTTTTTTTCAAAAGTAAATTAATGTTCAGTTATCAATCGTTAGCAATCAATATAATAAAATCTGCTGTGCCTATACATATTTAAATAGATTGACGTTATTTTTAAATGTCATTTTATAGAAAATTATTTCAACTTATTGAATCTACTTTACTCACCTACTACTTCACCAACTTTCTGCAACTCGTTCTCATCAAGGTTCTTATGTGTTGATACTGTTGTATTCACAACTGAGCTCGATACCGATGGTGGACTCCTCAAGCTTGCGAGTGCCCACGCCGTTAGGGTCGGAGGAATCTCCAGATCTCCCAGTGCAGTCTGCTCTGACGATGTCGACGTCGATGTTGTATATTTCGTCGAACCCCTCTTCCACAACGAAGGAATACTATTATCGGATATAGAAGGAGAATGGACAACCTTCTTCACTCCGCCGATATCAGTCTGCAAAACTGGATCAATATCAGATGACACTGTAGTAAGAACAGTTTTATTCGCTTGACTAGGTCGAGCAGTTGTGAATTTGTCCGATATGTCAAAGTGCTCCGAATAAATAGTAGTAGGTCGAGATGGTCGTGTAACTCTTGTGGCGTTTCGTCTTGGAGTCATCCAAATAGGTTTCGTCTTTGGTGTCGTGTGATGGAATCTACGAGTTTGTTGTCTGCTGTTATAGTATGTAGTACTCGTCACTGGTCTAGAAGTAACGCTATTAGGAGAGTGCTTTGAATCCGAAAGATTCAATCGTTTCGAATAACTTCGATTCCTAGTAAAGCTGCTAGAATACACTTTAACAGAGTTATCTGTGCTTGTTTCGATTCTTTGTGTAGAATGAGGCACTGAACTAGCTGAACTGAAAACCGATGGTATCAGGCTTGAAGGGAAGTAGTTAGATGATTGCGTGGAAATCTTTTCTGACGTAGGATCCGGATACGCAGGTTTTGTAACTGCCGGTATTATTGTTGCTTGTGTAGCTTTGATTGATGCTAACTCTTCTTCAGCCGAAGTACGCATAGTGGGATCAGAGGCTAAAGTATCGTTGTCACAATCATCATCGTTCAAGTGATTGATAGCATACGTTTCAGTTGACAATACTGACATTTCATAATAAATACTAGTGCCCTTTACATCAGATAGTGCTTTATTAGCACTTCCAGCCTCTTCGTTATCTAAAAGTCTGATTTCTTTGGTATTCTTTATAATCACCGTCGATTTGTTCGTGGGTGTGTTATTACCTAAGCTTTCTAACCCGCTATTTTCATTCACAAATTTATAAACATTTGTCGCATTGGAAGGCGGAGCTTTAGTTGTTATAGATGCCAATTTAGTTTCTATACTTTTGGATATTTCACGAAATTTTTTATCAAAAAAGTCGTTCTTTGGCGTAGTCAATTCGGTATCAAAGTCAAAGAAACTTTCGGATTTATATGAATCATGCTCTTTGGGTTCGTAAGAAGATTCATTTGGAAAATATGTAGAAAACTCGCCAAATGGTTCTTGACCAAATTCCTTCTTTCCTTTCTTTTCACGGCTGTCATGTTTTGTATAAGGGCTATATTCATCATCGTAACTAGGTATAGTAAAAAAATTACTATCAAATAATTTACTAGACGTATATTTTTCTAAAGATTTATCATCTTCCTCTTCTTCATCTTCGTATTCTTCTTCTTCACTTTCAACTTTAACAGATATGGTTTTAACAGGTGCTGGGGTAGTAGTAGTACTAGTTGAGGTAGAACTCGTAACTATCACTGGTATTTTGGTACTTTTATACTTTCGCATGCTGTCTATTATTTCTGCTGGTTTCTTTACTTCAGGGGTAGGTGTCACTATAATTACGTCAGGCTTTTCAGTTGTGCTTTTAACTCTTCTTAAAGTCCTTTCTGTACTTGACTTAACTTGAGAATTATACCTTACCCTTCCTCTGTCTTTGTATTTGGCATTCTTCTCAGTGTGTTCTTCAGATACATCTTTTGGATTTAGTTCATTGAGAGACGTATCTGGAGATTTGGCATCATTATTAGCAAGCCAAGTTGTATTATTAGCTCTGCCATATCTGGTATTTCTCTCGCTCTTCAATGAAGTTGAGTTTGTGTCATGAGGCAAAGCATTACTAACAACTGTACTACTTAGGAGTAGTAAATTTATTACTAACGCTGCACCTGAAATAAAATAACATTTTATTTTTAAAATAAACATAGTACTTTGCATTTGACAACACTACCACTGGGTCTCGTTTGGCAGCACAATTCTTAAAACAAATTTGATAGCTGCTCATGTACTCTATCTCTTTGACTTTAAATAAAGTTGCGATATTATATTAATAGGATTAAGCCTTTATTTTATTTAAGAATGTTAGTGCAAGTGGTCTTAAAATAAAAATACTGGGCCTAATTCTGGAATGATTGTCTAAAATTAAACCTAAACTCGACACCTATATTCCATGAACTATAAATTAAAACGCAATAATGCTGTAACAATTAGGATCAAGTACTTATATAGAATCATGCTAGAGTAACCTCATAATAATGTAAACATAGAAGAATAATTTTGCCAATTTAAATCTAAAGAAAATTTTACTAGAAAAAATCCACGCGGACCAGGTAAGAGACGGGACTCGAACCCGCACACTCCGCTATCAGGGCGGATGCACTGAACATTATGCTACCGCGGCTTTATTTATTCGAGTCGAATTTTCGCTAGTATTTCTTAGGCTGGAAGGCAGCACCATTTATTCACATTGGAGGTAACCCACAATATCAAATGAATACCTGTACAAGTATTAAACATTGGAAAGAAGAAATAGATATTATAGTTATATTTTTATTTTTTAAAGAAATATTTTTTTTACATGAAATTATTAAAAAAAGCTTTGTATATAGGTATACATATTGTATTTGTTATTTCTACAATCAAATGTTTAATACTCGTAAAGGTATTCATTTCACATTGTAGGTTACCTACTATGCGAAGAGATGGCGCTGCCTTGCCGCGTAATACTAAATACTAAAGAAAAATCGACACGGACAATTAGGGCCGCGGCAGCATAATAATAAGTGCCTCCTCCCTGATAGCTGAGGTTGCGGGTTCGAGTCCCGTCTGCTGCCTGGTCCGCGTTGGTTCTTTTGTCTAGTAAAATTTTCTATAAATTTAAACATCGAGCAGTTAAATGATTTAAAAAAAAAATTGATTAATCAGTTGTCAGCCAGTTACTTACTGAAGCATATTCTTACTGGTGACTCCATTGTCATTTCATTTTGTTGATGGATGAGCAGGCGTTCAATTCTGTGCCCCTCGTAACATGATGCTCCCTGAAAACAAATATAGATATGTTAAAATGCTGAATTATTTTATTTTAATCCAATTTCCAAATCATTTATTCACTCTAGGCTGTTACAAGCTCTTGTGAACGCCAACCGCTATGCCATCAGTTATCGTCCATGGTGAGAGAACTTTAATTGAAATCACAGAACATAGAAAGAGGTTAGCAGGGTGCTCATAAACGTTTGTACGGGAACCGGTGTCACCGGCTTGCCCCCAACTACACTTCCACCTAATAGATAATAGCCAATCAAACGACGCGACATCAAATAATCGAACCAATCAGCGCTCACACCCGAGAGCAACGACGCAATCAGAACCAAGTTTTAATCAAGTTATGAGCATAACTGTGGCGCGCCTGCCCCGCCCACAAGGCCCTTCGAACCTCTTTCTGTGTTCTGCTAATAAAATACACTGGCCTTCGAAACTAAATAGGTATCACATTTTTTTTAGTTTTTATAGCATATTTTATCATCTTTCTTTGAAACTGTAGTACAAAATTGAACTCTGGGGCTCTACTCTCCTTCTCCGAAACGAAATTTCGCTAACGAACGCATTTGAAACGAAATTTCGCCAGTGACTCTACTCTATCTCATTTTCGAACACGCACATAAGGGTTCGGAATCACAAACAATTTTCGTATGAATGAAATGAGTTATTTTTATCTCCACTTTTTAGATCAACTGTTTTACTTGGAAACAATAATACTTACTTTACGACAAAGTTTTTGATGATTCAAATAATCTTCATTGACAGTGTTAGCCGACTAATTTGAAGAGTTGATGCAATCCATTGTATGTCAACCTAAACTTGTCTCTTGTTTAATTCCTTGAAGTATTGAAAACAAGAACACTAATTATTAAAAATGATGTATTTGTTATTTTGACATGCTAAAAAATTTTACTCGCGCTCAGCAGCCTTGATTAAAAATACTCTACCAATCATTTTCATTTACGAAAATTTGTCCATCCGAAAATTGTTTGACAATTAAATTCTCCAAGCCTACTCTAATTCACAAAATTTTCAAGCGAAAAGATGAATTGGACAGATAATAATTGATCTAATTTTTAATCTCGAATTGGATGGGATTTTTAAACGAAAAGAAACACAGTTAGAAACGTGCGAAATTTCGATCGAAATTTCGTTTTTCGTTGAAGCAGAGTAGGCCCCCTGTTTCGAGTCCTTTTTATTTCGAAAGTATATATCTTGTATACCTAAGAAGTAATTGCAATTATTAAAGTGTTATACTTAGTTTTGCAGGCTAGTGTAATTTACCGATGACATTTTTTAATAATTAAAGTCGCTGAATATAGTAATCAATGTTGATCCTGGCAACCTTTATGAGTTAACACTCATAGTGAAAGCCTTTTCCTGTTGGAATATTATCAAATAGATATAATCATGGCTAAATAATACGATTTAAGTTACATAATTAATTTTCCAATTAAAATCACTGACAACTTATTTGAACAAAAAAAAATATTTTTTTGATATCATTTCCCTCTGTTATTAAAGGTTACAATAACGGTTTGGAATTAAATATCCAAAGTTACAATAACTTTAATTTGTTCGGTATCGAGTTCGCCGTGACTGCAATCCATAAGGACTACACCGAAATCGTGATCAAGACCGTTTCACGAAATCCCGCGAGTCCTAAAAGACGTTTGTTTTATTTTTGACGCCCGATCAAAGATTCTTTTTATATGACCAATGGAAGCAATATTTAACTGTAGTTATTAGTTATTTTTAAGCATTTAACTGCTAGATGTTTAAATCTAAAGAAAAGTTAACTAGAAAAAATTCCACGCGGACCAGGCAGCGGACGGGACTCAAACCCGCACCCTTCGCAATCCGGGCGAATGCACTGACCATCATGCTACCACGGCCCTATTCGCCGCGTCGAAATTTTCCTAGAATACCATGATGTCAGTAGTGTCATAGGTCTTGCACCATATTGTTCGGGTAGAAGCGCGCGCGCAACACACATTCCCACGGAGTATCATTACTCGCGCAATCATCGCCACATCTTGATATAAATACTGCAATTAAGTCTTGCAGCAACACATTTAATTGCCATTGTTAAATAAAGTAGATAATAAAAAAGAAAATTTAAATACCCTTTACTTTTTTTAAGTAATTTTTAGAGTTGCTTACCCACAGGGTAAAAACGGGAGCCTTTTACCAAGATTCCACCGTCCGTCTATCTGTCTGTCTGTCCGTCTGTCTGTCTACCCTTTACTTTTTTCAAACTAATTTTTAGAGTTGCGTACCTACAGGGTAAAAACGGGAACCTATTACCAAGATTCCACTGTCCGTCTATCTGTCTGTCTGTCCGTCTGACTGTCTACCTTTTACTTTTTTTAAACTAATTTTTAGAGTTGCTTACCCACAGGGTAAAAACGGGAGCCTTTTACCAAGATTCCACCGTCCGTCTATCTGTCTGTCTGTCCACTTGTCTGTCTACCCTTTACTTTTTTCAAACTAATTTTTAGAGTTGCGTACCCACAGGGTAAACACGGGAACCTATTATTACCAAGATTCCGTCTAATCTGTCTGTCTGTCTGTCTACCTTTTACTTCTTTCAAACTAATTTTTAGAGTTGCGTACCCACAGGATAAACACGGGAGCCTATTACCAAGATTCCACTGTCCGTCTATCTGTCTGTCTGTCCGTCTGTCTGTCTGTCCGTTATCAGGCTGTATCTCATGAACCCTAACAGCTAGACAGTTGAAATTTTTACAGATGATGTATTTCTGCTGCCGTTATAATAAGAAATACTAAAAGCAGAATAATATTTGAGGGGGGGGGGGGCTTCATACAACAAACGTATTTTTTGCCGTTTTGTGCTCTATATTAATAACGGCAACAGATAGACGTGATGACTTTATAAATAAATAATTAAATTAAAAAAAAAATTTAAGGGGGCTCTGGCTCCCTTATAACTGACGTGATTTTTTTGCCGTTTTTGCTTGATATTATAATATTATTGTGTCCAATGTTGTGTAGATAATGGTACGGAAATGGTACACTTGGCTTTTTTTTTTACTTTTCAAGACACTGCTGTTACCAAAGTCTTGCGATAAATTTTCATTGAATAAATTATCATAGCAAAAAAATTACTTGAGTCCTAGACACTTTTGACGTATTTTTAAATATCGGGCGTAGAAAAAAACAAGTTTCAATGGTATAGATGCACTGATTTATTTATTTACTAGCAGCCGCCCCCGACTTCGTACGCGTGGAATTAGTTAAAAATTTTGAGTTTATCCCGGACATACATACAGATAAACAAACAAAAATTCTAAATCTATAGTTTTGACTTCGGTATAAATTGTAGATCACACCCCAAGTATTCTTTAAAAAAAATCAATGTACATTTTTTCTAGTAAACTTTTCTTTAGATTTAAACATCTAGCAGTTAAATGCTTAAAAATAAATAAAAACATAACTATAATTGCTATTTCTTCTTTCAAATGTTTAATACTTGAAAAAGTATTCATTTGACATTGTGGAAGTATTCATTTGACATTGTGGGTTACCTACAATGCGAAGAGATGGCGCTGCCTTGCAGCTTAAGGCTAGGAGAATTTCGACGCGACGAATAGGGCCGTGGTAGCATAATGGTCAGTGCATTCGCCCGGATTGCGAAGGACGCGGGTTCGAGTCCCGTCCGCTGCCTGGTCCGCGTGGATTTATTCTAGTAAACTTTTCTTTAGATTTAAACATCTAGCAGTTAAATGCTTAAAAAATAAATAAAAACATAATTCAATGTACAGTTTTGAGTTTCCTACCATCTATCTTTATAAAACTCAAAGGTGACTGACTGACTGACATAGTGATCTATCAACGCACAGCCCAAACCACAACACCAGATGTTATGACGTAGACATCCGCTAAGAAAGGATTTTGATCAATTCTACCCCCAAGGGGATAAAATAGGGAATGAAAGTTTGTATGAAACTTTGTCAATTTTAAACCGATCGGGCTGAGACTTGCATGCAGGTATAAGAAGAATCATAGATGAATGTCATTGTGTATAATACAAGCCTGAGAACAAAAACTGTAGTCTACACTTCAGCTCTACACCGAAGCGAAGCGAGGACGGGCCGCTAGTTTTATTATGTGTAGATAGATAAGATTGACGTTTGGCACCAAAGCTAGACCTTGTTAAAAAGATAAGCTAATACAATAATAATTCACGACACAGAGAGGTCATCAAACCTACTGACCTACTGGAGCAGCTAATGAACTAATCAGTCATTATAGTACCTTATATTTGAGTGCTGAGAATCGCGATTCGGTCGTTAAGCTTGTTGGGATTCATAGGAGTCACGGCATTTCGTATTCCGGTCGCTAGAGGTAAAGAAAATCATGATGTAGCTAGCAGATTAGTTTTTGGGAACCTTCTTAGAGTTATAATTATTATTTTTTAAGCATGTAGCTGCTTGATGTTTAAATCTAATGAAAATATAACAAGAAAAATAATAATTATAACTATAATTGCTATTTCTTCTTTCAAATGTGTGTGTTAATACTTGTAAAAGTATTCATTTGTCATTGTAGGTTACCTACAATGCGAAGAGATGGCGCTGCCTTGCAGCTTAAGAATGGCTAGAAGAATTTCGACGCGGCCATCAGGGCTGCGGTAGCATAATTGGTCAGTGCATTCACCCGGATAGCGAGTGCGGGTTCGAGTCCCGTCTGCTGCCTGCTCCGCGTGGAATTTTTCTAGTTATATTTTCATTAGATTTAAACCTTCTTACATTTTACTAGATTCTTTTAGGGTTCCGTATTTTATATTATTTGTCGACCTCCGTGGCCGAGTGGTTTGTACGCCGGGTTTCATGGTGTCGCCGACTCGACAGGTCCCTCCCGGGTTCGAATCCCGCTGGGGGCAGATGTTTGTGTGATGAATACGAGTATTTGTACTCCAGTCATGGATGTTTCATATGTATTTCTATAAAAATATACTTACCTATATAATAATATA